AGAGAGAACTATAAACTTAATGTATGCTTGTTTTCCTGTCACATCTGCCTACTGACTGCATATTTTAAAAAGTAGAGATGGGGTCATTTCTAACCAGAAGCTGGATTCCTCCTAGATAGGAAGGTCTTCTGAACTCCTTCGGTTCCCCTCACCATACAGATCCAGTTTATAACCTTTCCAGCAAAAGGAGTCAAAGAGTAGGTTACCTTGTGTACCTTTGGGGATCCAGGAAAATATTTTTTTGGCTCCTTTGCAGGAAGGAAAGAAGACAGTGAGCAGATAATGAACAGCTGTTCCCTTTTAGTTATGGAAGATGATTTCACATGTAGAAAGCAGGGTTGGCGAGGAGGTAAGCTTGCACAAGGTTGATCAGTATGACCTGACCCAGAATCATCCGAGAGAATTCCTCCTTAAATGACTGGGGTATGTCCTTAGTCACTTCATACCTTTGTAGCTTAGATTTCTTAGTCTTTAAACAAGTGAGTAGAGTGCTTGGCCCTTGGAAATGCACAGTCTAATACCTTGTCACTCAGAAGACTCTCAAGTTTGTTATAATTGGTGAGAGGTATAAACCACTAGAGGTTCTAACCCATTCATATCTTTCTTGAGTTGTGCAAATACACTTGGCTTTGATTTTACTGAACTAAATTTGTTTATTTAAGCTATGGGAAAGTTTCATTAGCTTGGAATGTGTCATTGCTTGGACCCACTATATCAGATTTTTCTTGAGTGAAATGTTCAGAATAAAAGGTGTAACTCAGATTCAGGACTTTTATCTTTACAATATGTTACCTCGTAATAAAAGCTGCTATTGAATTGCATTTTTATTGACTTATCTGTGTTGGCAAGAATATATTTATATCTTAATTTATAGTTTATACCATTTCTGAAAGTAATGAAGCATGATTTCATTAAAAAAAGCATTACTCTTCAGAACTTTTATTACTTTTGGTAGAAACCTTCAATTTCTTTTGGGGAGAATCATTTAGAATAGTATTTTATATTCAGAGGTGCTTCAATTTAATTCCAGGACAACTCTCCCTCCCTCTTTCTTTTCTTCCTCTTCTGCCCCAGCCCACTCTTCCATAACTAATTTTGCTGTATACCAGGAACTGTTTTAGTTCTGAGGATAAAACCATGAACAAGAGAGATTTTGTCTGACCTTATCCGGCTTCCTCTCTAGTGCTGGAGAAAGACACACAACAAATGAACAAACAAGCAACATTAATTTCAAATGATGACAAGTAGCATGAAAGACAGGAAAAATGCTGAGACAGCAATATGAAGAAGGTGAAAAGAGCATCTGCTTCTGCTGGGTGTACAGAGAAGACTTTTCTGAGGGCTGGATATTTAAGTTGAGACATGAAGATGAAACAAGGTGTGGGAGGAAAATTCAAGCCCGAGATCCCGTCAAGTCCAAAGGCCCTTTGTTGGGAAACTACTTGTCATGTTCAAGGAACTAAAGGAAGGCCAGGATGGCAGGAAAGTGAATGAAAGAGTGACCAAGTCAGAGCTAGAGAACCAAGCAATAGGGCTGTGTGCACCACGTTAGTGATTTAGATGTTCAATTCCATGAGAAGCTATTGATGGATTTTCAGCAGAGGAGTGACATGATCTAGTGTATGTTTGAAGTTAGGGAAGGGAAAAGGTACTTTTCCAATGAGCCTCGTTGCTGAATTTCTTTTCTGAACTTGTCTTGCAGCAGTTACTACAGATCAGGCCTATTCCAATGGCTTGACAGTTGTAACAGTTGGGTTGGGTTAGGCTATGCTATGGTAACAATAATCCCTAACATCTCAAGTGCACAATATACCTCTATTTCTTGCTCACACAAGAGAGCGGACAGATGCCCTCCATGTCTTGTTCTATACTGCTGCTGTCTTGGGCACTTCCATAGCAACATGTAAAGAGAAGAGAAAACACGGAAAAATCATCACCAACGTCCTTCAGAAATGGCACACGCTAACTAATTCCACTCGCATTTCATTGGTCTAAGTAAATCACATGAGCAAATTTAACTTCATGAGGGTGGAGAAGTATAATTGTCCATGGAAGCAGGAGAGAACCAGAAATACTGGTGAGAAGCAATAAGAGCTAGCACTAATATTTTAACTCATTTGATCGTCAACCCAAGAGGCAGTTCACTATTGTCTTAAGTGTCCCAATAAAGAAACAGAAGAGCAGAAAAGTTAAGTCACTTGCCCAAGCACACACAGCTAGAATTCAAAGGTAGGCAGTTTGGCTCAGGGTATCCACTCTTAACCTTTATGCTACTCTGCCCAACATATTGGTGATTCTTAAATGTTAATGGCAAAAAGGGGTGGAGATGGGGATTATTCAAGTACAGATTCCTGGATTCAGAGGAATCCCCCAAGATGCTGTTTCAGTCATCGGTGTTGGGCACTTGCCTTTTTTTTTAACCAAGCACCTCAGGTGGCCAGTAGACAGCAGTTTGAGAAACACAGTTTTGAGACTATTCCAGTTGCACAGTGGGGAATGGATTGGAAGGTGAGAGAACATCGTCATGGTCTAATGAGAGATGGCAGAGGACTGACTAAGTTGATGGAATTGACAGAGCTTGTTAACTAGAGGTGGAAATCAGCAACTAGGTGAATGGAGATACATATATCTCTCTGGGAATGACAGGTTTAGGGCAGAGAGGTTAGAGTTCAGTTGAAGAGATAACTGAGTGTGAGTTAAGTAGGCGAGTTGCATCTTGGGAGAGTTGTCAGGGCGAGGAATAGAAGTTGAAGAGTCATGTGCATATAGGTAGTATTTAGGCCACAGGAATGAATGATACTACCTGGGGAGCATGCTGCCTTCTACTATCCCTTTTCCAAATCTGTTTCCACAAATTCTCCCAAACTACTTTTTCCTATTTTATTTTGAAATATTGTCTCTCAGCCAGATATTCTCCAGACTACAGCCACAATGAACTTGTTGCAAAATCCTTATTACATGCTCTCTCTTGTTTCTCTGTCTTTGGCATGCTTTTTTTCCCCCCCCTATTTGGAAAGCCCTACTCTTCTACCCCACCCCAGCTTAAATGACCTACTTACAGTCATACTCCATCTTCAGAACTCACTAGGCTCCTCTTCTGGTGGGAAGCCTTCCCTGAACCCCACCACAACCACCTGGAAAGCCTTGGCAATCATGACACCACAGCCCCCTTTTCTTGTTCTATGACCTCTGTGCTCCTATAGTATGTGCATTCTTTAGGAGGCCTCACACTCCCCACAGTGTACTTAGCACTTCACAGCTGCTCAATACATGTTTGTAGAATCATTTCATCCTAGCACAGTTTCATTTATAATCTAAGTCAAATCATATACTCTGTCTACTGT